GTGTGTCACATTGCGGCTCAAAACGAAGAAGGCGAGCGCGACGGGCGACTCTCGCAACTACTTACTTGATGGCAGGTGCTTGTCGGACGTTACCGAACAAGAAGACCTAGGAATTACTATTGTGTCCTCCCTGAAGTCGTCTTTGCAGTGTGTTAGGGTTTCCAAGAGGGCAAACAGTGTTCTGCTTGCCATTAAGCGAACTTTTGTCGACATCGATAAAAAACAATTCGGCAAAATATACGGGACATTTATTCATTGCTATCTCGAATATGGAGTTCAGGCGTGGCGCCCATGGCTGCAAAAAGACTACCAGCTGCTGGAAAGAGTACAAAGGAGGGCAACAAAAATCGTGAAGAGCCTAAAGTTCTCATCTTACGAATGTAGATTAGAAGCACTTAAACTTTTTCTCTGGAGTACAGGCTAATCCGAGGCGATCTCATACAAACGTACAAGATCGTGTGGAATCGGGTCTGTGCCCTTCAGTGTGATGACTTCATCGCATTTGCCACATCAATTAACCTCCGTAGGAATTCTCTCAAAGTCCGGGGAACCTTAACCCGTCTGGATGCCCGCAGGCATTCGTTCTCACAACGAGTCATCGGTGTAGGAACGGACTGCCCTAGCAGGTCATAATGGCGAACTCCATAGATGCATTCAAACACAAACTGGATGTCTATTTACTTAACAGATACCGTTCATATGCACAAGAAAGCACTGATAGTAGTCACCGACGTCTTGGTCAAACCTACAGATAAAAATTGTAAATGTGTGTATGTTACTCACTATTTTATAGTAACATATTTTATTTTTGGATATTTGATGCATATTGTCTTTAATAGGTTCTTCGAAGGCATTGCATACTACCCTATATATACTGAAGTAATACTTAAGATGTAAGTCGGCTGTGGCATGAAATGACTGCGAGAGACAAAGATCGTAGTGTCCACTGACATTGGGTCGGCGATACACGTAGTCAGCAGGAGTAGTTGTCCTTTAGAACAACTCGGAGCCAGCAACTCTTTTCTACCGCCATAACTTGTGGGTAGTACAGCAGCAGATATGTAAGTGGTTGCTTAACATAGTTCTATGTTACCATAACAATGTCCGGGCGGTTGACGAAAACCAGAGTCTGGAGCAGAGGCATCTTATGATGCAGAGATCTAGGATTTACAATGAACAGTTGAAGGGGATATATCTTTAAGTTCTACGACGGGACGGCTCGGCTGTCACAGTGACTGCGTTCGACCAGATAAATGTCCTTTAGACTTTAATTTTTTTCGCCGCTCTTTATTTTGAGATTCGTCCCACCATTGGTCCTTCGTTCTCGCAGTTCTATTATTATCTATCTCATTTTCATTCGCCCATTCAGCTCGTAATCCGGCCAAAAAAAAACTAGCGAATGAAGACTGCATAAGGATGATTTTCGCTCTAGCAAGAGTCGTGCCTGTGCCCCAGTTTCCAAAATGACTTAATGAAACTGTAGCAGAGGATTTGATCCTGGGGCGGTTGCAGCCTTCCCTATTCGAAATGCCTCAAGAATGCGGAATGATTCGACGTCCTTTCGCAAAGTTTAGACATGCTGTTTTAGGAAATCCACGTCGTGGTAACCTCGCTCATTTGAAATTGTTGACGCTGACTCTTGGACTTCTTTAACAACTATATTCTGCTATCGACTCAATGGGGCGCCCGTTGTCAGCTCACATGTTTCGATCGAGCGAGCATTTATATCCAGTAGACTTGGTTCGATAGGTCCAGATGTTATAGCTTGGGGATGGTTGAATCCAAACCCATTAACTGTTTGGTCATTTTAGAGCTTTCCTTCTTCGGCTTTATGAAATCGTCGAACTCTACATCATCGCTGTTTGATGCAGCGTCTAGCAGCGATGCAGCGTTGGGTTGATAATCCAGATCACAACTAATGCTGCCAGGGCCGAGTAACGATGGTGTAGAGTGCGAACTCATTTAAACTCCCTTGCAAACGATCGAAAAGTCTGCTGGTTCACTGGGTTCGGCGGACACGACGTCTGCTATGCAAGTTTCAGTTATGCTGGATAAAGCTTTATGAGCATGCGAACTTGTAGAATAGATTGTATAGCTGACGAGATATGAAAATCAAAATTTGAGTAGGTGATTTAACACACATTTGAGGTTGTTGATATTGTTCATTGAGTTGACTTGAGGTGCAAAATGCTGTTTACTAGAAAAGAGTTCGGTTCGGTTCAGTATACTGCGCCCAAATCCAACGTTTTTTGATACACAAGGGATTTCCTATCGGAAAATGACTTGGAGGGCCCTATAAATATATATTCCCCCCGAACTGCCTAACGTATTTTGTGGTCCAACATTTAATTCTTGGCTAGTTCTTAATTAATTCTTTTGTCAAAAACCCGTGTCGAGTTGGCCGAGTGGTTAGAGACGTCGATACCTCTTTCCGTCAGATGTTGTGACGCGGGGTCGAGGCCAGGCGGCTTTTTATTTTCCTCAACTTTCCCGAGCAGCTATCGCCATGACTCCGAGAAAGGAACATAGGGAACTTAGGAGACCTTCTCGAAACTAATTTTCTTTGCCACATGCCGCACATGCCCCACA